GAACAAAACCAAATACCCTCATGGCACTGCTGCTCAGACCACTTTTTGCCTGGCATTACCCATAATATTATGCTAATTCTAATCTTCAAAGTAGATTACATTAGCAAGGTATAACAAGAAGCAATCAGACTTATAAAGTATGTTTTCTCCTTAGCCCCAGCTAACACTGCCCCCAAGGTTACATAAACCTGTAGGTCTGACAAGAGAGATGGTTTAACATGTGACCCGAATGCTGAAGCTTTGCACTATGGGGCTAAGCCCAGATAATGGGGCAGCGGGGGTGGGGGCGTGGGGGGCATGGGTGCTGGACTCCCACATGGCTAATTATGGTTCCAGTCATGGTAAAGATCAGGCTGGGTGTGTGTTCATGTGTGCCCCAAATCCCAGAAGGTGAATGAAGGAAAAGGAATTGTGGCATGGTCATCCTCCCTGGAGGGTGATTTCTCATTTTCCCTCTCACTCTCTCTCCAGTGAGTGCATGTGCCCTGTGACAAAAACCTTAAAAAAAAAACCCAGATATCATTCAATGGCATCTATAATTTCCCCATGCTTAATTATATTTAAAATTTTGTTTCTCTGGGACCAGCAGTTAGTGTAATGGCAATGTCGCTGAACTCCCATGTAGCCAACCGCGGTTAGAGTCCCGGACCCAGTGGCTTAAACTCACGCTGAGTGTGTGTGTGCGTGTGTGCCCAAGATCCCAAGAGGAGAATGGAGGAGAAGGGATTGCTGCATGGCCATCCCCGCTGGGGGGTGATTTCTCGCTTTCTATCTCTCTGTCTTTCTGGCGAGCGCATGTGACCTATAACAAAAACCTCTCAAAAAAAAAAATTTTTTTTTTTGGTTCTCTTATCAACCCAAAGGGTAACAAGATAGTAATGTGAATGAATTCTTCACTCTTGTTTCACATCTAAGGCATAAAACAAGTCTTTGGATTTTTGAAAAAACAAAAACAAAAAACTTTGATTTTAATTGTAATTTTAATAATTTTTATGTGAAATCTTTGGATTTTGATAAAAGTCTGGGAAAGGACAACTACCACACCTTCAAGTATCTTAAACCATGCCTGTTACACAGTAGGCTCTCAACAAATAAAGAAATAAAACACCACAGTAGTCTTTAAGATATCAAAAAAGTTTATTTATTATTTTTTCCACAAGTGAGAGAGAGAGTGGGAGGAAGAGAAAGAGAGAGAGAGATAGGATTTCCAATAGGGTCTTGATGCTACAATTCACTCCCAGCCTCAGCCAGTCCTGGTTCATGGGTAAGCATGTGTCCAGAATACTCAGGGAGGTCTCTAGACAGGAACCAGACACCTAGTAATGTGGGATTCCCTCTCAGAACCTCATGTTTCATTCTGAACCACTGTCTGGCCTCAATAAGTATAAATTTATTGAATGAGTGAATGAATGAAACACACTAGGGTATGTGCTCTACAAATTCCTTGCCTACCTCACTCATAATAGAACAGGTTGTATGAACGAATCACTCTTTTCCTAGTTTCTTTTTTAATGAATGGCATGTGAGCTTAAAGTGAACTATTTGGTTTGTGGTTATAGATCAGAATTTGCTGTACATGAAGCTAATTGGTACAGAAGGATAAAATCTGTGATTTCTGACAGCTCTGAGCACCTCCCAGATACACTTGCTTAGATGGAGGCAACTCCCTTCATCATCACCCACCCTGCAATACTTGTAAAATCAAATCAGAGTGTGGGATGTTGGGCCTAATACAGAGGACAGGGAAGGGGCAGAGTTTGAGTAGGTGGGCTAGAGTCAGGGAGCAGAGGGACAGGCTGAGCAGAGGCATTAGTGAACCAGTGAACATTTCAGCAAGAGCTTTCCAATTAGAACCACCTGAGAAGCTTCAAAAACTTCCCAGACCAGTTAAATTGGAATCTCCTAAGTGGTAGGAAATGGTAGAGCCAAAGAATAGGTGTTTTTTTTTTAATTTTTATTTTTATTAAAGTTTATTTCTTTTGAGAGAGAGAACAAGAACCTTTAAAGTGGTCTCACACTGTGATCTTCCCCTTAGCTTTCTCAGCCTGCCAGGATCAGGGGCATGCCTGCCATATACAGGTTGACTGGGGGCCTGAACCTATGATCTTCCATATGAACCCAGCATTGTTTGAGCAACCTGTTACTGCTTACCACTGAGCTGGCCCAAAGTGCAAGTATTTTTAAATGCTCTTCAGATGATTCTAAAGTGCAACCTGCATAGAGAATGCTGCTTTGAGCTCTCCAGTAAGTTCTTTATTAGAAAAGAGTGAGATAGATTCAATTCATGAAAAGCTATTCAATGGGTAGCAATGGTTTCCAAACTTGTGTGCATGTTGACAACCCCAGGTTCCACCTATGCCTGGGCCCCACTCCCAGAGGTTTTGATTGAATGGGTCTGGGACATAACCTGGGCTTTGGAATTTTAAAAATACCCCTCAACCCAGTCTTCATGGTACAGACACTTGCATGCTGCTCTGAGTGCTGGAAGCCACATGGCTGACTACAAGATTGAATCCCTAGTTGACTTGAAACACACCAGGTGCTTGTACCCAAGATCCTGATTGGCTGGAAGGATGAGGTAAAAGGGTTGGCAGCATGAGGAGACCCTGTCCCTCTCTGTCTCTCGATATCATGAAATAAAGTTTTAAAGTTTTAAAAAATCCCCTACATGGTTCTAATATGTAGACAAGAAAACACAAGCAGAATCTTTAGTCCTAGACCTACTGAATTGGAATTTCATTAAGTTAAAAAAAAATTGTGGTGGGGCCAGCAGATGGTGTGTTGGTTAAGGTGATGGACTTCTACATGGCCAACTGTGGTTTGAATCCTGGACCTGGTGGCTTGCTATCTCTCGCTCTTTCTCTGGTCAGATTAAAATAATAATAAAATAAAATAAATAATTATTTTTGAAAATTGTGGTAAAATATATATAATAAAATTTACCATCTTAACTAATTAAATGAATTATTTATGTGTTGTGAGAGAGGGAGATACTCTTGACAGGGTCTCACTGCAGTGTAATTCCCTCCACCAACCTTCCAACTAGCCAGAATCACTGGCATGTCTGGTGTGGTAAGGTTGCGCTGAGATTCAAACCTGGGGCCTTACCATATGGCTACAGTATCACACCGGATCATCCTATCACCCATGCCATTGCAAGTAGACCCTACCATAACCATTTGTAAGTGTACAGCTCAGTAGTGCTAAGTGCATTGATATTATTGTGTAACCAAGATCTAAAATTATTTTCATATTGCTAAACTGAAACTCAATACCCCCTAAATAACTGTTCCTATTCTCCACTTCCTGCAGGCCCTGGCAACCACCAACCTACTTTTGTCTCTATGAATCTGACTACTCTAGATATCTTCTACAAGTGGAATCACACAGTATTTTTCTATGTGTGATTTGTTTATTTCACTTTACCATTATACCCTTAAGGTTCACCCATGCTGTAGTATGTATAAGGATTTTCTTCCTCTTAAAAGACTGATTCAGGGACAGCAGGTGACACAAAACTTGATGCCGCTGAATCAACATGGTTGACTGAACAGTTTGAGTCCTGGACCCAGCAGCTTGAAAAATAGGCTGAGCAAGAGTGTGGGTGCATGCTTAAAATCCCAAGGTGAGAATGGAGGAGAATAGATTATGGTATAGTCATCCCCTGGGGGGGTGGTTTCTCACTTTTCTCTGTCTCTGGCAAGTACACACACCCCAGCAAAAACTAAAAACCAAAAACCAAAGAAAAAAACAAAACAAAAAACCCCCAAAGACTGAATTATATTCCATTGTATGTGTATATAAGAGTTTATTCATCCATTCCTCTGTTGATAGACATTTGGATGGTTTCCACCTCTTAGTTATTTTGACTATGCTGCAATGAACATAGGTGTACCAATACCTTTTTGAAACTTTGCTTTCAATTCTTTTGAATATATACCTGGAAGTATAATTGAGCAATCATATGATAATTCTATATTTACTTATTGGAGAACCCACCATACTGTTTTTAATAATGGCCACACTATTTTACATTCCTACCAATAGTGTGCTAGGATTCTAATTTCTTCACATCCTCACCGACACTTATTTTCTGATTAAAAAAAAAATTGCTTTTTGCTAGTAGCCATAGAATCTGCCTGATCATGTTTGGTTGATGTTTGAGAAGCTGCTCTACTGCCCAGGCTGGTTTACTGACTGGCACAATGCCTTTCTCACTGGGCATTATCTCCTACGTTTAGCACTGATTATGGTGTGGTCTTTTCAACATTTGTTTGTTTTTCCATGTTTTGTACAAATAATCATTATAACCTGAGCCTGTTGAGCTTCAGCTCTTTGCACCACTGTTCACTAGCAGCTTCGATGAAAAGTGACCTCTGGGTTCAGATCTAGAAGGCTGATTTTAATCCAGAAGGAAGCTGAGCCCAGCTGCTGAGGTCCCATCTGGTGCAATCTCTACAAGAAGATAAAAAGAGTCCAACCAGCCTAAAGTAATAAGAAAGAAGCCCAAAATAATGAGAAGTAAGTACAACAGCTGCTAAACAATATAAAAAACGGATGAAGACCAGAATGCCCTGCAACATTTCTTAAAGCCCCTTTCATTTCTCCTTCTAAATCTCTGCAATTTCACAGTGCCGGGGAGTCTCTCATCCTCTTCTACCTCTTGTTTCTCTTCTCCTCCTCCTCTCTCTCTGTCTCTGTTTCTCTCTCTCTCTTTCCCCTGTTCCCCTCTACTCTTTTGCCTTCCTCTGCTTATTGGTA